CGTCTCTGAGTTCACACGAGAGCACAGGCCTCTGGGCGACTGGTGAGTAGTGGAGGGTCTGCTCTGGGCTTGGCACTGCTCAGACGTTGTGGGCAAGTACAGTGGATTGAAGCGATCGAGAGCCTATACCAGAGAGTGGTGCTCGGTTGGGATTGGTTGTTCCAGAGCAATGGAAGTGTGTTTCTACTAGGTGTACTCAGGAGGAGTATTGGTTGGAAACCCTGGTTCAAACGTAGTGTTGTCAGTCGAGTCATTTAGAAGTGAGAAGGGGCTACCCACCTCTCTGGACTCTCCTCTCTCCTTGAGTCCAAAGGTCACTGTGGAAAATCACTCTGATTCTTGGACTGAGTCTACACAAAGTAAGTGTGCCATTCATTGCAGGCTGGATAAATCAGAGACAACACTGCACACCCTTCTCCCTTCTCAGTTTTTGCAGCATGGCCTGCTCACTGGCTTGGCCCTCCCAAGCCAACCATACATATCCCACACAAAGCCCAACGCTTGCTTACACAATATAGCCTTTTATTCAAGTCCAGCAACTCCACAACGTTGTTACATTTCTCTTCTCCCAACCAGCCCGTGGATGTGTGTGTGTGTGTGTGTGTGAAAGATACACTTTCTCTATTATGCTTTGATAGCAACATCTGTGTGTGTGTGTGTGTGTGTGTGTCAAAGATATACATTGTCTATTATGCTTTGATATCAATGTCCCTTTCAGGAAATACAAGGGAAGTCAGCTCCTGAGGCAAAAATAAATACTGAAAGCCGTGGACTGCAGGGCACCCTCCCTGTGGTCACTCTGTCTTTGGACGGCACTGCCTGAACTGAGCCTGTGGTCTTTCAACAGTTAATAATAGCTTCACTCTCATCTTTGCTGTACTTTGAAATTAGTATTGGCCTCCTATAGAATCACATGTAGCTATCAGATCAGTTTGCTAAAATGAGGTCTGGACCTCATTAGCGTGGAATCCTGGCTTGTCCGAGACTTTGTTCAGGCCCACGGAGACATACGGATTTTCATCATCAGTTTCTCGGGCTACCCTGTTAAATAAAGCAAAGTCATTGTAACCCAGTCTTATCAGAATGACTACGGTCTTTCTTAGAGTCCCCTGACCCCAGCCTTGGTTTCTATCCCACTGCTAACAAGTTGATTCTGACTCATAGAGACCCTTCAGGGCAGAGTTCATTGCTCCCTAGGATTTTTTTTTTTTTTTTGAGGCTGTAACTCTTGACTGCCTGGTCTCTCTCCCTCCCTCGGAGCAGCTGATGGGTTCCACCTGCTGAGCTGGCAGTTGGCAGCCCGCAGTGTAAGCCATCTGCATGCTGGTTGTCTCCTATTAGGTTACAGACTTACAGACTGCTAGGACGGCATCGGCTGCAGCCCCGTGAAGGCTGACACCAACGCTGGTAGAGTGCAGGAGGCCCATTTAAGGATGTGGCCTCAAGTCACGGAGGGCGAGGCTCAAGGCAAATATGTACAGGCAGCGATGCCAATTAGGTGGAGCAACCACCCACAAACTCCCTGCCGTGGGGTGGCTTCTGACTCATAGTGACCCTACAGGGCAGAGCAGAGCTGTCCTCAAAGGGCTTCCGAGACTGTAAATAGTCAGGGCAATAGATAGTCACATCTTTCTCCCTCGGAGAAGCTACTGGTTTCGAACCCACGGACCTTGCATGTCGCAGCCCCACACTTTATCCATGGTACCACCAGGGAACCCACAGTCCCTGGCACCTGTACTAATTAACCAGTCACCATTGAGACATTTCAGACGCATGGTGACCCCATGTGATGGAAGAGAACTGCCCCGTGGGGGGTTTTTTAGGCTGTCAGCTTTCCAGGTCTTTCTTCCCCAGAACAGCTAGATGTCTTCAAACCAGCAACCTTTTAGTTCACAGCTGAGCACTCAACCATTTCTACCACCAGGGTTCCTTTCTAAAAGAGTCAGAACCTTTATGATCCATAAGCCAAGTAAAAGGAAATGGCTTCTCAAAGTCAGGAAAACAACCGAAAACAAATCTTGTGACAGATCAAGACTAGACATCAGGTCCCCAGCAGTTGCTATCTTCCATGAACTTGGATCTTCAATTCAAGAACAAGCTAGAGGGTGCCTGGCTGGTGGTGGAGTGGTTCTGTGTTAGGCTGTGATCCACAAGGTCAGCAGTTCGAAACCACCAGCCATTCCTCAGGAGAAAGATGGGGCTTTCTACTCCCATAAAGAGTTACAGTCTCGGAAACTCACAGAGGCTCTTCAACCCTGTCCTATAGGCTCGCTATGAGTCGGCATTGACCCAAGGGCAGTGAATTTAGTTTGGGGTTTGGTCAGACACTCATGAAATGAATGACACTGTCGGGGCCACCTGGGGAGGTACGCAGTCGATTATTAAAGAGGGGTCCTTGGGAGCAAATCTCAGAGCTCAATTCTGAATGATTCTACCATTCAGACCCATCACTGATCCAGTCTCATCGGGTCTCTTTTAGAGCAAGGAGGCTTGGGCAGTGAGGACAGCACCCTAAGGCCACCCCACCTCCACCCCACCCCTGTGAGGGAAATGATGCCATGCTTGGGGTGGAGCTGGCCTGAGCCTCCCATGCTGTGTGCTAGGCTGAGTAGGAGGGTTCGGGAAGGGTGAATGAAATCGGGTCCTTGCCAGGAGCTGCGCCAGGTTATTGAAGTGCAAAATTGTTCACCCAAGTAACTAGCCTCCATCACCCTCCACTTATTATAGATTTGCTGGTCAGTGTTCCTAAACTCTGCTAGATGAGTCTTAGGAATGGTTCCTTACCTTCTTCGGTCTCGGACCCCAGTGAAGATCAGGAAGACAATGCCAACCACCACCACTCCCATCACCACCCCGAAGACAATCAGCCAGATGCTAACGGGGGGCTGGTAAGGGGGGGCCAGTGTCGGTTCAATCCCCAAAAACTCCAGGGTGTTGTCATCCAGGCGGAAAGCATCGTTGATACGACCCCGGGACATCCTGCAAGGACAGAGGACACTCAGGCAAAGGAAAATTATGCAGAACGATGTGCCCCTCACATCATTGTTCCTGAAAGGATTTGATAAGGCCTAAGTCCTAAGAATGTCTGCTTAAAATAATAATGAAATCGAGATGGATAGCCATGTCATCCTCCTGTGACAGAGAGGAGTTGCCATAGTCATGCGCCTTTCCACATTTTATAACCTAGGTTTGGTTTGATAGCAGTTTCATCGGGGAACAAGAACAACAAAAGGGGGTCACAGGTATGGAAGTGAGCACGTGTTGAAGTCACTCCTGTGTAGGCAAGGAGGAGCCCTGGTGGCACAGTGTTACTCATTGGGCTGCTAACCACAAGGTCACCAGTTCAAAACCAGCAGGGAGAAAGACACGGCTTTCTAGAACTGATCATGACTCCACACTCATTTTAAAGGCAATTTGGGGGGATGCTCTAAGATGTGGTGCTAATTGTACAATTCCCCTTGATATGATTAAACAATTGAACTATTCAATGATATGATACATAAATTGCGTGCCAATTGTTGGGGAAAAAAACTTCAATGTCACAAACCCACAGGAGCAGGTCTACCCTGTCCTACAGGGTTGATATGAGTCAGCATCTACTTGATGGCATTGAATTTGGTTTGTTTGGGTTTTTCTGGTGTTGTAAAGATAAAGTTAACCTACTTGTACTCTGTGCCTTTGAGTCGATTTTGTTTCATAGTTACCCTATAGGACAGAGTAGAACTGCCCCTAAAGACTAAATCTTTCAGTTTTAATTTACATTATCATTCATTGGTAATATATAACATCTAATGAAAGAGCCTTACAATTTATAAAGCAAAACATATATCTTCCTTTACTTAACCCATAAATACCTCTAACCACAGATTGATAGATTGCAAAGATATAGAAAATCGTGGCACTATCCTTTTTTAAATTAACAGTTCTATTGGCACATGATTTACATATCATACAATTCAATCATATAGAGAATTGTAAAATCATTGCCATATCAATTTTTGAACATGAGTATGCATCCACTCCTCCTGTGGGTCACAAACTTGGAAACCCAACAGAAACAAAAACCAAAATCAAAATAAGGTGGTAAGGATAAAATAATAATAATATAAAGACCAAAATACAAATAATGGGTAAGAAAGAAAAGGCCCTCATCAACATTCCAAAAGCCAGGGGAGAAATTTCTGTCACAGAGCAAGTAAGAGATTCTTGCACCCAGAATCAACTCAGGTCAGGTCTGTAGAGAGGTCCCCCAGCCAAGTATTGAGTGCAATTTAGCATATTCAAGATTACAGTGGTCTCTGCCTGACTGCAAGGCTGTTGGAGACTCTTGCCTGTGGCTAGAGCGATCTGCCAGCGGCTCAGTCTGACCAGATACTCTGCTGATGGGTTTTGGGCTCCCACTGTCCTCCACAGCCTTCTAGAAATTGGTTATTCATAATTTTAGCTCTGATACTTTTCCCTTCACCATATTAGAATTTTTTAATTGTCATCTGTGGATCACACAAGCTGGTGTGCTTCTTCCATGTGGATTTAGTTGACTCCTCACTTAGATGGCTGCTAAGACTATACATCGTTACAAGAACAGAAAGCCTCATTTTTCTCCCGTGGAGTAGCTGGTGATTTTGAACTGATGACCCTGAAATTAGTAGCCCAATACATAATCATTAAGCCACCAGGGCTCAAAGTTAGAATACCAAACAAATAAACTCACTGCCACCAAGTCAATGGGACTCATAGCAACCCCATAGGGCAGGATAGAACTGCCCCTATGGGTTTCCAAGACTGTACGTTTTTATGAGAGTAGAAAGCCTCACCTTTCTCTGGAGGATCAGCTGGTGGTTTCTTACTGCAGACCGCGAAGGTAGCAGCCTAACTTGTGACCACTAGGCAAGCAGGGCCCCAAAGTTAACACAGTTGGCAAGAATATGCCCTATGTCAGAGTATGTCTATCATACCTTGAGTACCATGATGCCAAATAATGGCAAACGGGTAATTGGAAACACTTCTATCTAAAATTGAATCAGGTCCTATAGAGAAGTCCCTGTATTAGGACTTTCCACATTAGATGGCCCCCTCACCCGTACCGAGTACGTTTGAAAGTAAAACATCACCTTATGGCCTCTTCCACTTCACGTTTAGGAATGTAGTCCGTGCTTTGCGGAGAAGTGACAACGAAGTTGAAGGAGATCCTTGGTTTAAAATCACTCACCTGCACATTGGCCACTCTGTGGAAAAACAAGAGAAACACCTTCCTTGAGTGCTAAAAGGATACAATAAAGAAATAATTCTTCCACTGCACTGGAAAGGAGGCCAGGGAGGGGGCCAGAAAAGGGACTTGGTGTAAAGGAGCGAGAGACATGGACATCCATTGGGAATGTGGAGGATATAGCTGGAGGTTGTCTATTGTCCAGAAACCATTACAGCTACACAAAGCCCATGACTCAACTGCTTAAGCTCTGAGAGCAATCAAGCCTTGGCCATTTTCGGCCACCAGATCAAAACCATATTTTTTGCCCCAGTGATGTAAAATGTCCAAACAGAAAACACCAGAGAATCGGCCAGAAATCACTGGCCACTCAGAGTTGTGATAAATCACATAGCAGGTAGGGATAGTTCACACTATCCACAGAGAGGCACTTACAATCACACACACACCCTCAACTACCCTGCCCCTTTCCAGTGAACTGTGGCCTGTTACCTCCATGGCAAGGTCATGAGTGGTAGCTCTCTACTACCAGGGTGACCATCTTAGAACTTGATGCCAACTGTATGGCCCTGAACCCTTCAATGTCTACCAATCTGACTCACAACCAAAGCGAAGAATAGCTTTGGAGGCCCACAAGGACGGCTCTGCCTCCCCTTCATGCCATCATGCCCCGACCACGTCTCCACCTTGTCATCTCTTGGCCCACTCTGTTCCAACCACACTGTCTCCTCGATCTGCTTTCAACAAATGGAGGTCTTTGCTCCTGCTGTTGCCTTTAACTGAAACATTTCCCTGTTATCTGCACCGTTGGCTCTCTCTTCTTCAGATCCTTGCTAGCTCACACACACACACACACACACACATACACACACACCAGCACTCTCTATCCCATTTCCTGTGGAATTTTTCTTCCTAGAAAAGTATCGCCATTGTGTCGAAGGGATCAGGTGTAAGGCATCATCAGAACAAAAAATCTCACCATAGTGAATGATGGGGGCAGTGCAGAGTGGAGATCCAAAGCCCATTAGTAGGCCACTGGAGATCCCCTTGCAGAGGGGTCTCGGGGAGGAGATGAGCCAGTCAGGGTGCGATGTAACAATGATGAGAAATACAACCTTCCTCTAGTTCCTAAAGGTTTCCTCCCCGCTCCCACTACCATGACTCGAATTCTATCTTGCAAGACTGGCTAGACCAGAGGAGGTACACTGGTACAGATAGGAACTGAGAATACAGGGAATCCAGGATGGATGAGCCCTATAGGACCAGTGGTGTGAGTGGCAAAACAGGGAGGGTAAAGGGAGAATGGGTAGCAAAGAGGGAACCGATTACATGGAACTGTGTGTGACCTCCTCCCTGGGGGACAGACAACCGAAAAGTGGATGAAGGGAGAAATCGGACATGGCAAGATATGACAAAATACCCATTTATAAACTATCAAGGGCTCATGTGGGAGGGGGGAGCGGGGAGGGAGGGGGAAAATGAGGACCTAATGTCGGGGGTTTAAATGGAGAGAAAATGTTTTGAGAAATGATGTACAAATACGCTTTACACAATTGATGTGTGTATGGATTGGGATAACAGTTGTATGAGCCCCTAATAAAGTGTTTAAAAAAAAAAAAAAAAGAAAAGTATCGCCATTGAAAACTGCTATATTTCAGTTTGACCCATTGTTGCTTGCTACCCACACATGCAACATGCACACTAGAATATAAGCCCAATGAAGGCAGGTCTGGGAATGGGTGAGAGCATGTGAGAGAAAGGGAGGGAGCTTAATAAGAACAATACTCTGATAAGCCGCCAATCAAATAAGCCACAACTCTCCCAGAATAAAAAGGGCCAGGTTCCAGGATATCAAAAAAGCATGCACATGATTAGGAGGTGGTTCTGAATTTCCCACGAAAAAAGTTTAGGCAGACTGTATCCTCAGACTGAAGAAGAAAGGAAGTCCTGGTTGGAGTCACTTGCGAAGCCAGCAAGTCAACTCACCCAAAAGGAACCGTCTGGTTTTTGACTCTTGAGAAGTACTCTCTCATGGCATATGCAACAGATGAGCGGAACCAGTACATTTCATTCTCGTTCCATTCGTACTGCAAAGGCAGAAGACAGACACTGCTCAGTAGATGACATAGGACATGTTCAACAAAAGATGATGCTGGTAATCTTTCTAACATCCCAAGAAGAATGGCTGGTCATTAAAAAACACCAACAACCACAACCAAACCCCCATCACCATCAATTTCAATTCATGGTGATCCCAGTTAGAGACTGGAACTGTCCCATAGGGTTGGTGCTTCCTGGGTGGGGTCCAGTCATCAACCTTTAGACTAATAATCAAATGCAAACCATTTGCATCCCCCAGGACCTTGCACAAAGTCAGTGATTCTCCAACTTGAACAAGAATCAGCATCACTTGGTGGGCTTGTTCAAACCCTGAGCACCAGGCCCTACCCTCAGGGTTCCCATTCCAAACCGGCAGCTCTAACTCGTCTTCTGGGCCAAAGTCTGCTTTAAGAACTCATGGGTTCAGTTGGCGTTGGGTGTGAGCTGAAATGAACACTCTGAGCGCAGTTTTACAGGTGAGAGTCAAAGAAGAGTTGTGGATTTTGCTCGAAATGTCTTTGTGTTTTAGACGGGCATATGGAGTCTTGCATGAGCCAGGAGGGGGGGGGGGCATGTTTAAGTGCTAGGCTGCTAACCGAAGACCAGCAGTACAAACCCGCCAGTTGGTCTGCAGGAGAAAAGACCTGGTGATGGGCTCCAGGTAGACTGCCGCCGAAGAAACCCCTCTGTGGCCGTTCGACACTGTCATACCGGGCTGCCCTGAGCCGGTCTACTCAATGACACCCACAACAATCTACCCAATGGCTACATGCCAGACTGCTAACTCGATGGGAGGAAGACTTGGAGATCTCCCCCTGTAAAGAGTTCAGCCTAAGAAACCCATGGGGCAGTTCTACTCTGTCATAAGGGGTCCCTATGAGTTAACATTTGACTGGATGGCAAATAATAGCAATGCTTTGACTACTTTTAGAGCACCTTTCAAGATGTCTATTATAAGTGTAAGCGATGAAGGAAACTTGAGTTCCAAAGGAATACATAACATCTTGTCAACAGCAAGTAAATGTGTTGCTTCTGGTTCTCACTGCAATCCAATCCCGTCTGACCCTATAGGGCAGAGTAGAACTGTCCCTGTGGGTTTCGGAGGCTGTAAATCTTTACAGGAGCAGAGAGCCCATCTTTCTCCCCAGAAGCAGCTGGTGGTTTCGAACTGCTCAGTTTGAGGTTAACAGCCCAGTACATAATCCACTAGGACTATGCCATCATTAAGGCGATGAAAGACTGGTTCACAAAAGAAATGGGGGAGGGAGGGGGGAGTGTAAAAATCCCTCTTTCCTCCAGTAGCTGGCAGTAGAGATCAATGAATGGGATAAATCTGGATCCTCCCCCTAGACCTTTAGGAAAAAATATTTCAAAAGAATCCTTAACATCCACTTCAGCTGGGTTTCATCCAGATTTGGGGAGCAATATATTGCTTTAATCACAATATTATTATGAATCATATTCTAATATTGATATTAATACTTCTAATAATAAATTTTTTTAGAATACTACTACTACAAGATTTTTTTTTATCCTGAAGAGTGATTCTCAAAATAATGCCAAATATCCAATTGGACTTCACCAGGAAATAGTCTGATCTGAGCAGACATGCTGGCCCCAGTATGTAAATGGGTCTCATCTAAGGTCCCTGGGGGTGCAAACTCTTTGCTCTCAATTACTAACAGAAAAGTTAACAGTTTGAATCTACCCAGTGGTGCAGAAGAAGCACCTGGTGATCTACTTCCATAAGATCACAGCCATTGAAAACCCTTTAGAGTCCAGTTCTATTGTGAGTCAGGTGGAATCGCCATCAGTCGGAATCGACTCAACAGTAAGGGGTGAGCAGGCCTCCGAAGGTATATCAGTGCCCTATAGCCTCTTCAGGAGTCCTGGTGGTGTAGTGGTTACATACGCATTGGGCTGTGATCCACAGAATCGGTAGTTCAAAACGACTAGCAGATCTGTGGGGGAAAGACTAGGCTGTCTACTCCCATAAACAGTTAGTTTTGGAAATCCACAGGGCATCACTATGAGTCAGCATTGACTCGAGAGCAGTGAACTTGGATTTTTTGTTTGTGTTTTGTTTTGTTTTTTGAGATGCCTATTCGCCCATCTTCTCACACATGGAGATGAAGGTTGAGAAAAAAACATCATTAAAAATCATCGCAATCTGCTGGTTGTAATTAAAATGTATTAGGCCAAGGAAGAGCCAGTAAAACAATCCCATCGACACTGAATGATCATTAAGCAACAGGAATTTGAATGTTCAGAGTTTGGGAAGCAATACAGCTTCCTTTTTATTATGCCTTTCTTAAACATTCACTTTTTTATAGTTTGCTTTTTCATCTAGAAAAAAATATATACTAGAACTACTATGAAGCCTTGAGCAATATTTAACTCCCCACAAAAAGGAAGCGGATAGAAAAACAATTCTTGGATGGATCCAATGCAGACAACAATTTTCTGGAACATCTTGGCCTGTTTGACCCAGGAGCCTCAGGATGTCTTCGAACCCTTCAAAGGTTTCTGGGTACCACCCTCCACCACCACCGCCACCATCCCCTCCCTTCTCATTCCCAATCAAAGCTCCTACTTCCTCAGACCAGATCACCTAAGACAGGTGTCCAGGAGAAAGTAATAGCTGATTAGTGTAATTCGTATGAAAGTGTACACAACATGATTGTCGTCTGTAATCTCAAAGTGCATCTCGAAGGTAGTCGTCTGCAGATGCTGCTGGAAGTCACAGCACCTAGGGAGCTTTTGAACTGCTTGCCACCCAACCCTGGATGTCACACCCCAGACCAACACAATAAATCTTTGAAGGTGAGAGCCAGGCATTCATATGTGTACAACTTCCCACATAGCCAAGTTGGAGGGGAAACAGTCAAACTCAGAGCATCTCAGTTTTACGATGTCTAGGAATCACCTGGGGGAGGGGCTTCAGGCTAAAATACTAATTCAGCAAGTTGATCAAGCTGATGAAGCAGGTTAATTAAGTAGCATAACCGGGGCCTGGGATTTTGCATCCCAGGTGATGTGGATAGTGCTGGTTGTAGCCAGGATACAGATGGCAAAAACAAACAGAAAACTATCCCCGCTGCTACTAAAAACAAACAAACTCTCAAAGTACAGCTGAATCCTCTTCCTCAAATGGAGATAAGAGTGAATTGGGAGGGTGGGCGCTTGGTCCTTAAGGACGGGTAGCGATGTTCTGTGAGAGCTTCATAGTGCCTTCAAGGCAACGCGTAGAAAGTAGGCACAGCCTCGCCGTTAAAACAGAGCAAGCTGAAGGCTGGAACCTGGGGCTGCTACCTCGGACAAGAACCATGTGGCCTCCATGCTTTCAGGCACCGGGATAGCTTCTCATGCCCCATGTCGGGCCAACGCATTGAAAAGTCATAGACCCACTAGCTAGGATACTCACCGCTTTGTCTCCCAGAGCAGATTTCAGGCTTATCCTCACTTTGATGGGGTCAGAACCTGAGGAAGTAGTAACTGAGGAAGAAGAAATCAAAGACAGCCAGTTAGTTATAGATGACAGATTATCCACATGTATATATTTCCTTTCCCTCCAAAGATCCCACTGAAATGCAAGTAAAGAGAACATTTGTTTCCCAACAAGGCAGAAATATCCTTGTAGAAGACGCTGTGTGATGGAGGAGGTACTCCTTGGAAGGCCTGCTTTCTTGGCGGGCAGGAAGCCACGGCCTGGGGAGTACCCAGAGAGCGCATCGATCCGGGAAGAGCCAGAGAATCCCAGGAAGGCTTGGGACTCAAGGATGACACAGGGTGGGGAAAAGGTGTCAAGCTGAAAACAGGTGGACTAAAGTGAAGATGTGGCTACAGCCAGTTTGGGGACCAGTTGAGCCTCCTATTTCCTGGATCTGGCTTAGCAAGTTACTTAGAGGTTGTGCTCCAGTGAAATGAGGTCATCAAGAAAGAAGACCTGGCATCCAGGAAGCAGCAAGTAGAAGACTCGGAATCAAGCAGTAGTTCAGATGGAGAGGACCAACTCCCAAACGCCCTGCCATCGAGTTGATTCCAGCACATACAGACCTTGTAGGACAGGGTAGGACTGCCCCGGTGGCTTCCTAAGACAATAAGTCACCTAGCTTTCTCCCTCGGAGCAGTTGCTGGTTTCAAACTACTGACCTTGCGGTTATCAGGTCAACGTGGAACCTCCGATGGTAACAACTTAACACCCTAAGAGGAGAGACTTTAGGAACAAACTAAGGCTGAAAATAACACTTGTGTTCATGTAGTTGGGGTGGTGGAGGTGGGGGTGTGGCCTGGAGGGACGGTATGGAGATATGCCCACACAAAAAGAGGCAAGTGTCAACTCCAGGACAAGCACAAAGACAAGTAAAAGAGGATATAAAGCAGTATATTAATTGGCTCTGCAGACATAAGGAGGCACACAGCGATAAGTGCTTTGCTAAAATTTGCAATGAAGTTTCATTGAGAAGGCGAGACAGTCTTGGAAAGAGTGTGAGTGTGGGAAGCCTTCATTGTGTCTAGTGCATACTAGGTGCTGGGCAGATGCTTAGTGTCCTGTTCATAAAATGACAGGTGCAATGTAGTAGAATCAGAAGCCAGGTCAATGTTTCCCAAAGTGGGTGATACCACCCCCCTGGGGGCCACTGCAATGATCCAAGGGGGCTGCAAAAGCAGATCCTTACACTTTATCCAGGATGATGAGTTATAGTACAAAAGGTTTTCATTGCCAGGGGGGGAGGGGGCGGGGGACTGAGCAATTATTTTTGAAAAGGGTGTGATAGACCAAGTACATTTGAGAACCTATGATACAGACTGAAAACATCCTGCTCACAGCGTCGGAGGCTGAGGCCAGCGTAGATTAGGGAAAAGCAGAGAGACAGCAATATGAAGTGGGCCAACTCATTTGTACTCACCTGGAGTCCATCCCACCGGAGAATTCTTATTCTGTTCTTTCAGCCAGGTAAACAAGGGCTCAAAATAGTTGAGAAGTGGTGTCACATCCATATTCTTCGTTCCTACCACCTTTTCCAATGCTGAGGGCCAGGGTTCTGATTTTCCGAGTCTCAGCATACCACTAGATGAAAAAGACAAAAAAAAAAAGAGGGATTGAGAGTCAGTTGAAGGAATCTAATTCTCTATGTACATCTAGAACCTAGGATCTCTGGGTCCTTCTCTTTGACTTGGCTCAGGTGGGTCCTAGCAGATAAGAAAAAACAGCATGTTAGCAGATGCATTCATTAGCACCCTCTCGACCTTTGCACCGACCACAAAGGGATCTCTCTCATTCAGGTGTGGAGAGATGAGGCTGCCTCAACCTGCATCCACAGGGCCTGGGTTTCCACCTGACCACAAACATTGACGATGGGAACAAAGCGAACATGGCGAAGCCAAACGTTTTCTTTTCAGAAAATAGAGAATTAACCCCAAGGCCAGGCGTGGGGATGGGTCATAGCGGACACTGGGGGATGGCCAAGGTTGTGAGGCATTTCTTCACTTACAGCAGCTTCCTCCCAGCCTCAGTGGAATTGGTGATGTCACATTTGTACAGAGGACCCTGATGGTTAGCCACTTTACAAAGGGCTTCCTGGAACTGGAACTGATAAATAGTCCTTGTGTAATATCTGTATGAGAGACAAACAGAAAAGTAGTCCCGCCTTTAGTTACCATGGTAGAGTCATTGATTGGGGCAAACAATTCAATTCTGTAGCCCAATGGACCAAAGAGTTACTAGTCAAACCTGTCTCTAGCAAGACCCATTTATGAACCTTACAAGCTCATTATTTTCTAAATCAGCAATTCAATATTACGTTCTTCAGTGCTGTCTTGTATTTGTGATATATAGATTTATAGCCCTCTACTATGAATAGGAGACTAGGTCTCGTGTATATTGGACATGCTGTCTGGAGAGACGAGTCCCCGGAGAAGAACATCATGCTTGGTACACTAGAGGGAGAGTGAAAAAGAGGAAGGTCCTCAATGGAGTGGATGGACACAACAGCTCCAACAAGGGGCTCCAACCCAAGAACCACAGGACTAGGCAGTGTCTTGTTCTGTTGTGCATAGGTAGGGTCATAGATCACGAGAACCAACTCTACAGCACCTAATAGCAGCAACATATGAATAGTATCAATGGATCCTTATAGCAACTATATTATTTCCATTTTGCAAATACAGAAACTGGGGCTCAGGAATCTTAGGGTCAGGGAACCACAAGGTGAGAAACATCGGTGTTTGAACTCTAAGTAAAAAAAAAAGTGAGTTTTTTCCCCCTTACACTCTGAACACTGCCAGTAATGAAGGGAAAAAAATCTTTCTCCAAATGATACTACTAATTCCTTGATGGGGGTACAAAGATCTTAGCCAAGTTGTATTTAATCCAATAAATCATGTTGAATTCGGTTGGATTCACAGGGACCATCTATTTTGAGCTTCTGGGGGTGGGGCATGAACTTAGAAAGAGAAACCATCACCCACGAACTTAGAAAGAGAAATGATCACCCTTATTCAACCATCCCTATGTCTTAGTCACTAGCACACCCAGGTGCCCCGGTGGTATGGTGGGTGACATATTGAGCTATTAATCATCAGTCGCCCCGAGGGAGAAGACCAGCCTGCCTGATTCCATCAAGAGTTAAAGTCTCCGAAACCCAAAGGGTCAGTTCTACTCTGTCCTGTTAGGGTTGCTATGAGTGGGCCGCAACTCGATAGCAAAGGTCTGGTGGTTTAGTACAGGAGTCCGCACACCCTAGGAGTAAAACAGTGAGACGAATACTGTCATTTACCGGATGAATGAGTAGTCGTTAGCAACGTGGAACAGAGCTGCCGGGTCACAGTATGATTCATTATGAGACACAGGTTCCATCACCCCTACAATCTCTCGCCTTTCAAGAGAAAAGAAGAATATACGTTAGCCATCAGAATGAAGGAGACGGGCGCAATCCCTGTGGTTTCGCCAGTCAGTGGTATTTATGTTCTAACTGGTTGTTAGTGAAACAGAAGCCCTATAAGGGGGCCTGACAGATTAGCTGCAACAATGGGCTCTTCACATCGCAGCGATGACGAGGATGGCCGTGTCTTATCAAGCAAGGGTCCGCAGGGCTATGAACAGTGCTATGAAGTGAAACCCACGTGACAGCCCCTCACATCACCACCACCACCAAAGCCTAGTAGGTGCTCATCCCTCATTTATTAAATTCAGCCAGAAGATACCATGGGGAAATAGCAATACCTTTAAAACAAAGAGTAACGCCTCTAAATAAGATAAAAATTGTCAAATGCTCTTGCGTGGCTAAACACATATTGGGAAGGCCTCCATAGTTACTCTCCGGCACTTGAAAAATTGTGGTGAGACTCCACACGTATGACAAAACCTTTGCCCCTCCCCCAGGGTTTGGCATAACTATAATTCAGTGGCATTGCTCCATTTTGCCATGTTGGGGCACCACGTTTCACCTGCTCGTGATGAGACAGATTGTTTTTGTTTTACAGATTGGACAAAAGAAGAACTCTTACAAAGGAATTAAGTAGACCACCTACTGAATAATACCCCCGTTTAATGGGGGACCTCACACATAAGAAGATAAACATTCAGTAGGGTCACCTCACCCTGCTTGGGGCAGGGGAGGAGTGGGGCAGAGCCCAGGAATTTTCCTCTGAGGAGATGGCGACATCCCAGTGAACACGTCCCAAATCAAAAGAAAGCGGTTTGTGTGTGCATGCGCGCGCATGGGCACACGGGGGTGTGGTTGGATGGCATTACCTTAGTCTCCATGTCGTTAGTTTTCCCACATCCTTGACCCCATGTCACCAGCCTTTAGTATTTAGCTGGTGAAATCCCAGGTACTCTGACTCTGAAGCAGTCTTTGAGGAGAAAACAACGGGACTGATGGTTCCAGGGGGACATGGGAGAGCAGGAGGTGGGGGAAAGGAGGTGGTGTTGGCCAACCCAGAGACAAGGGAACAACAAGTGATCCAAAATTAGTGGCAAGGAGGGTGTGAGAGGCCTGGTAGGGATTCATCAAGGGCAATGTAACTAAGAAAAATTACTGAAACCAAATGAAGGCTGAGTATGATAGTGGGACAAGATGAAAGTAAAAGGAAATCGAGGAAAGAACTAGGAGGCAACGGGCATTATAGAGGTCTAAATACAGGCATGCAAATATGTAAATATATTTATATAGGACAATGTGGAAATAGATCTATGTGCATATATTTATC